AGACTAATCAACTTGATAATAAGGACAACCTATTTTACATTCAATGGGACCATCTAAGAACAAATATTTGGACTTCCCATAAGCTCTCCGCTCACTAATTTTGGCAAACATATACATGAACAAAATAGAAAAGAACTTCAAGATGTCACTACTACAACTAGCAGTGCTCATATGGTACCTGGATGATTACTCCGTACTTTGGTCGCATGGAAGAGAAAAACTGAAAGTTTCTGAATTTTTTAAACCAGATTGAGGAAAAAATTCAATTCACAATGGAACTAGAGGAAGATGAGCGGTTACCGTTCCTGGATGTTGAAGTGATTCGCTCTAATGGGACACTCAACAAGAAATTGTTCAGAAAGAAGTCATACGCTGGGATAATACTCAATTTCCGGTCCCATCACAATTACGAACTAAATATAGGAATAATGAGAAGCATGATCATTTGAAGCTTACGCCTAACGGATGTAGAATTCTGGGACGAGGATATTGCTCGGTAATGGCTACCCAATTGAAGTGATAAAAAGAAACATACGGGCCGTGAAAAGCCGATGGCAGAGCGAGGACTATTAAAGAACAATAAGGACGATGAAGGATTTACAAAAGTCAATTCATGTGGCCATGAAAGAGAAATCAATACTTTTCACAAGTCTACCAATGCAACATGAAAGGGTAGAAAAATTGGATTGTTCATGAATTTACTGTAAATATCATGCGGCGCGTGCAAACAGAAATATATTAGCGTAACAGGGGGTAAAAATTAGCATAAGAATCAAGGAACACAAAGGCTCTTATTAAATGGGCAAAGTTAACCTATTATAAGTAGGTAGAAATAGAGCTAGCAGCCTTTCTTGTCTTCGTGTTTTGATGATTAATCGTAAAGCATGGTGTTTTGCTTCGATGATGTCCGTCAAATGAGAGATGGAAGTTCAGCAAAGATTCATTGGGGTCGCCAGACTGTGAGCTGAAGACGTATTCGCACAAATCTAGTAACAGTTCCAGGTCAACTCCTCTTCGACTTTCAGGAAGACCAATTTACGAATCCCCTCCACTCGTCTCTTCAAGCAAAATGAAAGTCACTCCAACATCAAGCTACTGAATGATTCTTCAAAAACAAATTTTACCATATATATGTGGCTAATATTTGCAGTCAATGAATCCTTTAGGCTAGCTATAAACTTAAGCTTTAACTTACAACCAAATAGGATGTGTGCAAGTTAATACTCACCCTTGCTGGATTGGTTTGAGGTAGCATAATGCTGTCCTCTTGGTGACGACGCAATGGAGTCATTGAAGAAACGGCAAAATGTAGGCCTGGGCCTCTTCCAGGCGAAGCATTAAGCTGTGGAAGAAGCAGAAGTGAAGGTGCTGAAGAAGCTGGTGTCATACCAGGCATCACTGAGGTGGGAAATCCTAAACGAACTGAGACTGGAATGGCCATGTGCGAGGTTGCTTGATGCATACGACCAGCGGATGCCGGGACAACGAGTGAGGAGAGACCAGAGTAGCTAGACCCTGACGAAAGCCTAGATGAGAGCCCAGCGCCAGAAGCGGGTGCCATGGAAGGTGTTCTGAAAAGGTTAGCCTGCGAAGATGGAGGAGGTGGCATTCGAGTGCTCAATGGAGGTGGAGGACCAGAAGAGATTGGGGGGCCCGAAGGAGGAGCACCGGATTGGTTAAGTGGCCTACGAAAGAATAATAAACTTCACAAATTACCGGAATCAAGTTCATAGCAAAAATAGATAGATGGCTAACATGAAACTAGGGGTAACGTCCTCAAAATAAGGGAGCAAGTTTCCAGGTGCTTGACCAAAAGCAAGAAATGTGAAGTCAACAGAATAAAAGGACTACAATAAGAATTTGATAGTTTTCTAAAGCGAGTAATTTATATCAAAATTAGTAAACGTAAATTTTTTTTTTAATGTTTCGAAGGTGAAGTTTGAATTGAGGATGCTCAGCACGGTAGTCGAAACTTAATCAGTTAAAATCAGGAAGTTTCAATGGCTCGTAACTATCTTAAAAATTTATTTTCCGAAGAAAGGCTATGAATATACCCAACAAAAATAGTGGTATGGTTTTATGATAGAAAATTACCTTTAGCCACTGTTATAGCCCAGGATTTAGTAATGTATTCCAGCAATCAGTAACGAAAGTTTATGCACTGTCTCGGATAGCATTGTTTAAGCATCCTTAGTGGTTTGACAACCTTATTATGTGCATATTAAAAATTATAGCGCATTTTTGGGTTCTAGATATATCCCTGATTCACTTTGCAAACTTAGTTTCAAGAACAGAGTGTATCAAGTTATTTATAAAACATTCGATTCCCCTAGGATCACTCAAACCATTTGGGCCCGCTGAGACCATTAAGTAAGCATACCAAAAGTTTCACCAGAATTATAACTGGCCTTTTCACTAAGAGAGCTCTTACAAGTTGATAAGTAAATTAATTGTAATGAGGCTACCCAAAAATAATCTTTAAACTCCTTATTATTGAAGTATCTAGCAATGAAAGATTATATTTTCATGTGGGCCATTTTAGGGATGAAACGTTTAGAGGTAGCCATGCAAAACGCGTCTGGAAAGGATTCAAGTGCCTAAATATTTACTAACTCAACAATCTTGGCTTTAAAAATTTCCAGCTCAAATAAGCTCTAACTAGGATTTGTCATGTATATAGATAACCCTGATAAAGTAAGGTGAGTACGTTGCCCTCCGGTCATGCATAGAATAGGAACCATAAGATGTAAACCATGGCAGATAAGCTTAGAAAAATCTTATATAAGGACCAAATGTA